GCAGGTAACTTTGTTTCATGAAGGTTCATACTTTTGACAAAATTTGTCTTTCTTTTTTAACAAATAGAAATTAACTGATACAAATCAATGATGTCAAAAATGTTCGTCGGTTCTTAAGCCAGAAGTCATTCATTTTAATTTGTCAAAAAAATTGAATGTCATATGATTTAATCTACGACAACCCTTTTTTTTCAAGTTATGACGTGTTCGATAACACAAGTATGAACCCTCGAGAAACAGACCTTATGTAGAAATCATCCCATTTATTGTTAGTATTAAAGTTTACTGATATCATATTCAAATAGCCCAGAATAATCCAATAATAAAGCTATGAAAGAAAATTTTAATTGCAATCTCCAGACTCGAGACTACGCGAGACTCTCGCCGAGTCTGGTCTCGTGATCTCGTCGAGACTTCACGAGACGAGACGAGACCAGTCTCGAGTCTCGCGGCATCACTAAGCAATTATATGAGCTATGACGCTCTAACAAAAAAAATCAAAGTTACTACTCCTTTTAATTTAAATCGCTTATTATCCCTTGAAAATCCTTATAGGTATTTATAATCATATAATGTCTTTTCTATCTACATGAAACCAATTTAGAAATTTGCCAATAAAAAATTGTGCTAATGTTTATCCCACCAATGTTTACCCCTTCACTTTCGCTGTGGTCTTTTATGTTTGTCAAATTTTACCTGTAGCTTTCATCAGAATAGTTCACAAAATCAGTCAGTAGGATAGTATTTTTCCAATTTTTAGAGCCAAATATGTTAAAGGCGGCTCAAACAAATATAGACAACTATACAGGGTGAGTTACTAAGCGCGCGGTGGTCCATATCTCCTATACTAACGGGGATCGGAGAAAAAACTAAATACAAAACTTGTAGATAAACATGAGTACTACAGTCCTAAATTATTTTCCAAGATACAGGGTGGCCCAATAATGACACAAAGTTATGTTTTTTTAAATGACTTCCCCTGTATATTATGACATTTCTGGATTCTGCGGAAAGTTCTAGACATATTTCATGTATAATGTCATATACCTATCTTCAACTGTTTCGGAAATATTGACAGTTGAAAACTGACTTTTTTTCATCTTTGACAGAAGATAGGTGTATGACATTGTACATGGAATATGTGTAGACTTGTGTCATAATATACAGGGGAAGTCATTTAAAAAAACATTACTTTGTGTCACTACTAGTTATTGGGCCATCCTGTATACTGGAAAATAATTTAGGAATGTAGTACCCATGTTTATCTACAAGTTTTGTATTTAGTTTTTTCTCCGATCTCCGTTAGTATAGGAGATATGGACCACCGCGCGCTTAGTATCTCACCCTGTATATATTAGAAGCAAATTTAGGACATTTTATTTAAAAACGTTGAAAGTACGCAAAATTTCAATTTTCTTACAATAAAATTTTGTTCTTGACGATGGATTCTGAAAATTTAGTTAAAACTGCGCAACTTTTGTGTTCACACCTATCATCTACCTAATATAAAGGCTGCAGGTAGGATGTCAAATTATAACCAGACACCCTGTACATACAAATCTAGAGGTCCGTGATAAAATGACGCCATGAAATAAAATTCTGTTATATACGGGCCCTGGTAAACTCGGAAAAATTGGTCGATTTAAAAATTATTTTTTTCTTATCTAGGGGGGCCATGGCCCCCATGGTTCCTCCCTGGTGAAGGTATTTTGTAGCGGAAGAGGTAAGTTTCGGAAAAACCAAAAAAAAAAAAACCTTCAACCTTCAAGGAGATGTTCCAGGGAGAAATTTTGTTGGAAAAAGTTAGACCCATAATAAGCAGCCCTTGTCCTACTAGAAAAAAAAAAAAAAAAAACAGAACTTGTGTCGAGTTTTTGAGGTTCAACCTCTCTTTCCTGGCCTATTTTTGATGCTGCCGTTTTAATAATGTAACTATCAATAATTCATGTTTAGTTAGACAAACAAGTTTTAGTTTGTAGCCTAATGAGCTATCACCATTTATAGGTATGTATTCTTGGCTATATGGCGAATAGCGAGGGCGAGATAAAGTTAAGAACCTGAACCAGATTCTTTTAGAGATGGGCTTTAGGCTATATTTATCTTCAAAGTGCTTCATTTGGCTTCCTGTATCGAAATATCAATAATAAAATCTCCAAAATGAGTGTAAAATTGCATTTCAAAAACATTTTCTACATTTATCTTGTTCTTTTCAATCATAATCCATCCAAAGTAGTCTCAAATTGCAGAAGAAACAAGCTAAGCTGAAGCTGCTAGTCATATACTTTCGAAATTGCATAAAAACCCATTAAGTGGTTTAGTTTTGCTTCTTTTTGGCTTTGGTATTGAAATTTGAAATAGGTATCAAGAGAAAATCTCCAAAATGAGTGCCTATAATATTGCATTTCAATCACATTTTCTGATATTTTTTCATTTTTCTTATTCAAAATCTATCCAAAGTCGGCTCAAATTGAGCATTCAACTAAAACACCACCTAGATAGAAGCTAGTCAAGACAAAGAAATCCATTAGTAGACGCATTTACTGTTCAAAATTACATTGAAAACCACAAAATGTTCTAAATTTGTCCTACAAGTGCTTTCTCTTGAGTTTTCCCTCGAAACAATGAAAAAAGAATGCCAAATTGAATTTTAAATATTCTTGATAATATGGTGATGGTTAGTTAATGTATATAGGTATCCTTACCGTACTAGGAGATTTCACATGAAAGCGACATTTTTTTATATTCCATGCACCTTTTACACAATAATTATTATCGAAAGAGTATGGAAAAAAATCTGTAGGATGAGACATTTGAACTGAAAGAGTTCTTGATTTCTCTGGAAAATTGAATCAGCAAATCAAAAGCTAGGTATTGATAGTCAAAATTTGGCCATTTTCAGGACTTGGATTGCCACTTATTTAAGATTGACGCAAAAGTACAACAAAGTTGCAATTTTTCAAGTTTTCAAAACACATTAATAAGAATTATAAGTAGGTACCCATGTTTTACAATTTTTGGTATTACCATTTACCGGCTCTTGCATGATTACCTCCATAAAAATTATCCAAAAAATCAAGAGTCGGTAATATTCACAATTTGAACTAAAAGAGCTCTTAATTCCTCTAGAAAACTAAATCGGTAAATCAAACGCCAATCCGCATGTGGCTAAATTCAGCTGGTGTAGGCACCGTGGTGGCATGATAGAAAAAGCAGTGTTGTTAAATTAAACACAATTCCGCAAACTGTGGTTTGGTGTATTGGCATTAGGAAATTCGAGACACCGCCCCCGTGACGGTGCACCATTTTGGTGAATTTAGCCACACACGGAATGATAGTCAAAATTTGGCTATTTCCAGGATTTGGATTGCCACTAGATTTAAGACTGAAACCAAATTATCACCAACTTTTGCAATTTTTGTTTTCAATACAGCGATATTGAATAAAATGATAGATGAGATCAATAAATTTCAAGTTTTTAATAAAATCTTTCAGCAATTGATCAAAGCACAAGTTTTTTTAAAAATCAATTTGGGAGTTAAGGTAGGTACCTACCTCACGAAGTTACCGAAATCCGTCTGGAGCTGAGTTAGTACCAGAAGAAGAAGAGAAACAAGTAACTACAGTAACTGAAGAAGAAACGATCACTAAAAGGAGAGGAAGAAAAATAAGCCAGTTGCAAAAAAATTATTCTGCACCTGAAGAGGAAGAGGTTATTGTCAATCCTGCCCTGAAGAAGGTGAAGATGAAATCAGCATCAAAAAACACATACCTGTACCCGACGATGAAGTCATACCGCAGCCGGAAGAAGAGGTTAAAGAGGATAAGTAATGATAAAGAAAAAGAAAAAAAACCGCGCTCATCCTCAACCTAAAGAAGAAATAACTGAACAAGTTACTATCAAGCCCAAGCCTATAAGGAGGAAGTCGTGGAAGCTGAAGTAAAAGTACCTGTTAGGCCTGAGAAGGTACCGGAAGACGGCGACGATGAGGTAATCCTTAAAAAACACGTTCCTGTGATCGAAGACGAAGAAGAAGTTGCAGTAAAACTTAAACCAGACGATGAAGTAGAAACTGAAACTGTTATTGAAAAACCAAAAAAACGTCCCACAAAATCTGATGACGGTGAAGACGAAATAACTGTCAAAAGACCTGTCCCAGTTAAACAAGCTTCTTCATAAGAAGAAATAGACATTAAAAAGCCAACTGAACAAGTGAGTGCATGAGGAAACTTTCAAAGAAATGAAATTAATAAAGCCTACACCTGATGAAGGTGAAGATGAAGTATCTATTTAGAAATACATCCCAGTTGTACCGGAGCCGGAAAAAGAAGCCGTTTTTATTAAAACAGTATTCAAGCCTGATGAAATTCCTGAAGAAGTTGAAGCTGAAGTAACTATCAACAAGAAAAAATTTCCCTAACCAGAACCAGCAGAAATTATAAAGAAAAAAGTTTCACCAAAGAAACCACCAGTTGAAGAAGCTGCTGAATAACTTACTGAACTAAAACCCATTCGCAAAGCTTCAGTACGAAGAAGAAGATAATATTATTAAAGAAGAGGAAATTCCTTCTGTTACATTTAAGCCAATAAGAACTTCTACAACTAAAGAAGAGGTTGACTATATCGCTCGACTCCTATGCAGAGGAAGAAATAAGAGAACCCAAAAAGAAAACTTTCGGTGAACAAGCAGTAGAAGAATATGTTAGAATTATCGAAAAGATGAAAATGAAGGTCCAGCAATAGAAGATATCAGTGACGAATGCAGTGACGCCGAAGAAATTCCATTCAGTCATATGAATTAATGGTTTTTGTAAAAGCGGACGTATCTTTGAGTATCACCAAGGAAAAAGAGATAGAAAACTTAACGATTATACATCAAGAAGAGGTGCTTTTATCCTTTTACTTGTTGTTTCATGTTTTATTGCTCTTCTAGATGAATGGTGGTTCGTGAAGAAACATCTTACCTAAGACAGTGGCTGGGTAGGTATTATCAAAGATTCTCATGGACAAAGAACAATTTGTTCAAAAGAAACTCAGTGAGAAGTTCTTGAAAGTAAGTTTTTCAATCTTTTATAGATCTATTACCTTCAATTTATAATTTTTTTACAGAGCCCAAAGCTTCAGAAAAATCACGACGAAGCTACAACCACAACCTATAACCACCCACGACGGTTCTACAGCAACATTCCAATGTAAAGTTGAAGGATATCCATAACCACAAGTAACTTGGTTCCGTCGAACTCACATTATAAAGGAATCTGTAGATTTTGAAATGTACTACACAGAAGAAAACGTTGTTTTACTTGTTATAAAGGAAGTTTTTTCTGAAGATGCTGGTACTTTTACCTGCGTAGCCAAAAATTCAGCTGGATTTGCTTCTAGCCCAGCCGAGTTGACTGTTGTAGGTCCTTTATCTTCCCATTGAGCTGATAGGATACATTCAATTTCCAGAAAGAGTCTTTCCAGGACTTGTTCATTGGCTGACATTCTTGATGGCATGCCGCCAGTGTTGGTTGGCAGAAAAACCAAAAACACAAACGGCCATTTGCATCGCTATAGTATAAGGGATATTTAATCCAAGTGAAGCTTTGAATGTGCCTCTTGTGGAAACAAAAGTCACATTCAAAGATCCACTTAGATTAGATATCCCTTAAGTGATAGCCGTGCAAATGGCCAAAAGTGTACCTGAAAACGAAGATATTGAAGTTGAAACTGCGATAGCTGCCATTCCAGGACCTGATATTAAATGGTATAGAAATGAAAAGAGGATAAGTACAAAGGAAAATATAACTATTACAACTATTTATTTATTTATTTATTTATTTATTTATTGATGGACAAAGACTATTTTTTTACATAAACCTAACCATTCGTTAATTTATTAAAATGTTCTTGAGAAGAGTCAAATAGGTAAAGCTAGGTAACATAATTAACAAATCAATAAAATCTCAGAGGGGTAATACATATTAACTAGCCTAACTAGATGCTTACAAATTCAATTATACCTAAAATGTGTTTCAAAGCTCTAAGAAAGCATTTTTGTGTCACAAAGTATCCCCGTAAAACTTTGTACTTTGTGACAGATTTTGAGGTTTTTTGCAATTCTCAAACAGTTCTTTGCCACATAAAATTCTAAAAAAATACACTATGTATATCAGTCCTTTCGCTACAAAATGGCAATAATAGTATCCCCGTTTTTACGGTAATTAATAATATTAAAATAACTAGGCACATCAGGTAGTTCCCAATGACATTCTTTATTGAAAAAATAAGGTACGTACAGACACTATATTGATTACCTATCAACTAATAATAACTGATGGATACTTGCCTAAACGATGTAGTATTTATGCTCCGTGTGATGGAAAACCATAGGTATTAGAAGTGTCCCCGGATTTGTGGATGGGTAGGTACTTCATAACTGGACTTCCAATATTCTGGAAAGTGGCCAGATAAGAGTGAGCTATCAAATATGATATGTAGGGTACTTATTCTTGAAACAAGGGAGCAATATTCCCAGGAGAACGAGTGTTCTGTCTTTCTCAATGATATGCAAATGATAATATATAGGAACGCTACTCCCCTGTAGCAATAATAAGGACCCCTGGGTCATGAGAGGATGGAAGAGCAGTTTTTAAGCAAAATAGGATGAATTTTATCAGGGCCTGGCCGTTTATAGATGTTCAAGTTAGTCAGTTCTGTGTATATTTCAGAAATACAGATTGAGAACTCAGATACATTAAAGTTGTTGAAGGAGGGTTTTTTCTCATGTGTTGATTGCTCTTGAGAGCTGAAATGGTTTGCAAAGAGATTAGCAGCATTGACCCCCATCTCGCATTTTACATTATCCAAGTAAAGATTTGATGGTATATTAGAAGAATTTCCCTTGGAATTAATAAAACTCCAAAATTTTTCAGGGTTGTAATTGAGATTCGACTCTGTTTCTCGAATATAATTTTGGTAACATTGTTTAGATAGCTGTTTACAATGAGAAAGTAGATTGGAAAAAATATTATAGTTATGGGGCGAGGGGGGTAGATTTGTAATGTTTATGAGCGATCTTTTTCTGTAATGTGAGACTAATAAGATCCTCCCTAAACCATTTTGGAAATTTTCTGCTTGCGATTTTTTTTTAATGGATAAATAGGCCTATTGCATGATTTAGGATTTCGTAAAATGTTTGAACCATATCTGGTACTGTTAAGTTAGAAAGTATTGTGTCTCAATGAAAGGAGCTGAAACTGAAAAAGTCATTTATAGGGTTATAGTCAGCTGATTTAAAGTCATGATAAAAGGAGTTTCCTTGTAGACTTGCTCTGAAAAAGGTCAAGACAAAAAGTGAAGGGTATGAGGTGATTGTCAACTTTAACAATTTGATCACAATGCTTACCATTAAATATCCTAAAAGAAAAAACTAAGTATAATATAACATTGGTATTATTTCTAATTTCATTTAATTGGAAAATTCTATAATACGCACACATATCTGATAGGTACTACATTTATACACCCCATAGTTTGTGCCTGTGGAGAAATATATACATTATTCCGTGCCAGAGCCATTGAACAATCTTCTGAGCAACTTCAATTAACTTTTGGCAAGTTAAAGAGTACGTTCTTCAGAAAAGGAACCAGCAGAAGTAGTGGAGCCTCTTCAATCTACCACAATAAGGACAGGAGAAAGCATTACACTAACCACAACTATTGTGGGTAATCCCGAACCTGCCTTACAATGGTTTAAAAATTATAAACCATTAGAATTATCACCTAGAAGAAATGGTGATATTTATACAGAGAGTATTATTTCAAAATGCTCAACCTAGTGATCAGGGAGAGTATCCGTAAAGGCCAGAAATCCTATGGGAATTGTTGAGACGAGTGAATTCCTAACTGTACCAGGTACGAATCAAAATTGTTTATATATTTATTAACTAATTTATTGAAAATATATTTTTCTACTGACGTTTCATAATAGCAACTTTTCGATTGTCATTTTAGTTTTAAAACGATATTCTTTTAAGCACTGAGTGCGTAAAAGTTACTTTTAGGCACTCAGTGCGTAAAAGTGACATTTGAATGCGTAAAAGTGACTTTTGAGTGCGTAAAAGTAATTTTTAAGCACTAGTGCCTAAAAGTGTCATTCATTCTTCAGAAATAAAAACCACACTAAACATAGATTTGAATTTTGTTTTGTATTTATTATGAATATTAAAAATGTAATTATTGAATTGAACGTTTGGGTTAGTCAAAACAGAACTTTGTGTTGTTACCTACTTTTTAGGATTTTAATTATTAATGTCGAATCTTGAAAAAAAAATCGCATGAAAAGTGTCAGGTGTCAAGTAAAAGCAGGTAACAAAGATTTTGGGCGTAATCGACTTATTCACATGAAATAAAATTGTGTTTTTTTACTATAAAATGCCAGTAGAAAAAATCTTGTATACAATACGTTACGAAACGATGTCTTTTAGTCACTCGACGTGTTGTCCAACTCGGCTTTGCCTCGTTGGACAATTTTCACGTCGCGTGCCTAAAAGACGCTCATTTCGTAACTTATTGTATCAATAGCTATATATTAATTCGCTTCGTTTTTTTTAACGTGCTGCCGCTGCCACTTTATTTGTTTTCAGCTTCCTCTTTGAAGCCTTCTCAATTCTTTCCTGCTACTTTGCTTATTTTTTCAATTAAATTTATTTCTTCACCCAAACATAATATACCAATGTTTGCCTAATATTGAAAAAAAAATCGAATTTGAGCTTTGTTATATTCACTGCTTCTTCGTGTGTAAATATTGTTCATTTTTTAAAGTATTTTTTTGCTTTTTTGTAGAATTCTCCGACAACACAGAATCACCTCTCTCTGTCAAACGTTTCGAAGAACATAACATTAAGAGCCAAAGTAACTGGCATTCCACAACCAGAACTCACTTGGTTACTTAATAACCAACCCCTCGAATCATCCGACACAGGGTCACAATCCTTCATGATGGAGAAAATATTGAACTAACCATTAAAGAAAGTAATTCTGAATAGGATTCGACAGTTCATGAATGTGTAGCCACAAATTCAATAGGAAGAGCTTGTCATGGCGCTTCAGTTAATGTTTAAGTCGATAGTGTTAAGTTCACTAAGGAGCTTCAGAAATATTATGAAACATTCGAAAAAGAAACTATTTAACTTAGATGTGAAACTTCACATTCTGTTAGAACTAAATGGTGGTTCAATGAAACTAAAATTAGTTGAATGGATTATAGAGCAGTCGTACATGAGGGAAGAACTCATAAGTTCATTATTAAAATTATTTCTAAGAATGATGAAGGCAACTGCTATGAATGTACTGTTAAAAATCAAAAGACAGAGACTATAGTCAATGTTGAACAAAGAAAGCTTGAATTCGTTGAAAAACTAGAATATTTGGAAATTACCGGGAAGGACGTAGGTACAGTGCTATTTTGGAAGTTGAAATTGATTCAGATATTGCAGAAGTTGTTTGTCTCAAAGATGGTCTTCCAATCGAAGATACTGACGATAAATTTGGAACTGAAAAAGATAAAGGAGTTCGGAAATTGCTTATTAGGTCAACTTCCATTCATAACGAAGGTGGATACACTTGCAAATTTTTGGAACAAGAATGCAAAGCTGACGTAAATGTATAATAGAACTCCCTCCAGAAATTATTACTCCTCTTCAAGATAAGATTGTCCCAAAAGGTGAAACGGCTGTATTTGAAATTGAACTATCCAAAGGAGATGCTATGGTCTAATGGTACAAAGACATCAAAGAAATTTCATTTCCAGAACATATTCAATTACCTATCTATTGATGAAAAAACACAAAAACTATGAAGAATTATAAATGTGAACTTGAAGATCAAGGTTAGTTGGTAATAAACAACCATTGAGTGCCGGCACTCACGGTGAACGTGATTCCGTGAGAGTGCATTTTAATTCAATTTTGGATCTGCTGCTTGAAGAAGACAAGACTACAATAATAAATCTGACAATCGCGTACAATGGCAGTAGATGTTGGGGGAAACTCATATAGAGTGTAGGTATGAAAATAAGCATAAGATTTAGAAATCTTTGAACAAGAACCATTAAGTCAATAACAATAATAATAATAAAATAAACTGGTTCATTGACATAACATAATTTTTTTTTAACGTAAAATAAGAGAAATTGGATTCTCAAGCACATACCGGTTAGATTTGTTGTACTTAAGTAAATGCAATTCCATTTTTTTTGTTATAATTTTAAGAATCTTAGACAGATCGTAGGGTGTGTCTTCTACTCGGGCGTCTTTAGGAAAGTGAATTTAAAACGCAAGGAAGGCCAAGAGTATAGGTACTTACATAAAATTGTTTTGTAGGTTTCCTATTAAGAATACTTTCCCTGTTTTATGTTGCCGATATATTTAATTTGTTAGTACAAAATATCTCGACAAGACATTTAAGATTAATTTAGGGCAAGTAACAAGCACGATTGCTTATTGAAGAATTCGGACTACTTTTGAGCTCAAAAAATTGGTTACGATTTGTGGCTTTTAGAAACTTCTCAAATTCAATGGTCTAATAGATTGCCTTTATCTATTATTACCACAAGTAAAATGCGGTTTAAAAAAGCTACTTTTGAAGAGAAATTTTTTAAATTTCATTACTTCTACAAGACAAATAAAGTATCTCGAAAAAAAAAATCAAAATAAGGCTAATGATGCATTCATTATTATTTTTCTATAATTTAAAAAAAAATATCCTGGAATAAATTAATAAAGAAAGCTCAAAATATCCGTACAAAAAAAAAAACAAATCCTATTTTAATAAAATAACTATCAACAGGTGTCACTAAGTATAGGTACTTAAAAAATTAATGAACGACCACAAAGCGCGCTCGAGCATTGAAACTGGATTAGTAATTCAATCTTTTGATGTTATAAATTATGAGGTCATAAGCATACAATTTTTAGTACTTGTGAAGGATTTTTATAAGGCCTATACCTAGTCGTTAATCCCAAAAAATGGGGCAACCATACCCATATCAGCTTTCTTAAATTTCTTCCAAAAACCATGCAAATTAAAGGTCTCGGTTTCGTAATAAGTTCAGGTTTTTACTTTATTACGTGCATATCAATTTTGCAGTGGTGACATCCTCTGACAAGAGAACATGCTTGGATAATTTTTTTATCAGATTCCCCAGGACACCTCAACAATTTTTAAAACAAAAATTGTTACGTTCAAATAATGTATTTTAATTAAATACAAAACCAGCTTTCGTTAAGTAGGTACTATGGCGTGAAAGTAAAAGGGAATTTTGTTCTTCTTTCGGTAGCAATTGCTTATATACCTACCTTCTCTCTCGTTTAACTACCCAATTAAAAACTAATTTCATTTATTTAGCATGGTACCTAGATGAATAGGGTTTGAATTTTTTTTATGTCAATCATAATTTACTTATTTTACAATTTTCCTAAACAGGTCCATATACTTACATAAAATAATCGATCTGATGCATCAAAATTCTAGCTCAAGCCATTCAGAATACCTACCTATACAAAAATATACAGGGTGTTCTTACCACGACTAAAATTTCTAATAAACATAGGTACGCAAGCGCTTCGTTATCGATCTACAGAGTGTTGAAATTTAAATATTTTTTTAGTTTTTTTTTTAGCTCTTGCAATTTTTGAGGGATTTACCTCAAATTTAGATTATGGGTTACGCAATAGGAGCTTAATGATTGCACATATCAAACGTTTGCCAGAATTTACAGGGTGATGTTTTTCCAGCGGCCATGCCCCCTTTTCTGCCCCTGAACTTTTTTGCGGTGCGCCGCTGGTAGATTTTGAAAAGCAAAATAATTTTTATATCTCATTTAGAAACTTTTTGTTCTGCTGTAGTTTTTTCGTACCAGCGACCCTTATCGAGAAAAAAATTAAACATAAATCTCTAATTAGCTATGGATGAAACTACAGTGACTCAATAAACCTTGTCTACCTACAGAGGCGACAATAGAGATCCTGCCGTCATATTTTTGCTCATTTTCAATAGGAATTTAGAAATAAGCCACGCCTTCGCCGCCATATTCTTGCTCATTTTTTATATGAATGCATTGAAATTTGGACACCCTGTACAGCGGTAATGAAGCGTTTGCGGACCTATGTTTATTGAAAATTTTAGTCATAAAATAAACCAAAGAATAATTCCCTTCCGTTTGTACATGATTTATATCGTGGTCAATTTCCTTACATGCTGAGGTTGCACATGCTAAGGTTGCATATACAACCTAGATATAAGGAACATCCCAACCAGGCACGAGCAGTCAGTTTTTTAGCTATAGTTTATACTCTTTGTTTTCCGTTAGTTTTAATTGTAATTGTAATAATAAATTTTCAAAAAGGCAAACTTCCGGTCATGTTAGTTAATTGGCGCAGTCGGAACGGTTTTCGTAAATCAATATAAATCGATTATATTGATTTTTTCCATTTCAACTGGATTTACCGGAAACGAATCTAGTGTTGTGACGTTGGCGGAGGTGTTGAAACAGAGTGGAGTTTCTGAATATCGGAAACTCCCAATCTATCGTAGATCTGTGGATTATCATCGACCACTGATCATGGAAAAGTAGAACCAACATTGTCTACTTTTACAAGGCTCAAGATTTGGAGAGGACAACGATTGCCAGACCGAAACTTCGACCTTATAGGAAATGACAGGAATTGCCTGCCTAATATTATTGTAAGTAGTGTAATTGATTGATTTTTATATCCACTGATAACATTGATTCAACTATTAATGATTTAAAACAATTAAATCTATCGACACCTTCACAGTGACTCTGATTCTGAACAAAATTTAGAAACAAGTATTTTGGTTAATTCCGATAATTTAGTTGAAAATTTAGAATCCAATTTAAATTTAAATAATCAAACAAGCAACAATATGTCGCTGTCGATAGTTTTTATATCGCTACAGACCCTAGCCAATTTCAAAACATTTATTTACTGAATTTTTTTATCGGCAAACTTAATAGACAAGCTAAACTAATTGTTAATATTCAAAATGTCACGACTTGGGATGAATTAAAAAATTCCCTAAGACGTAATTTTGCTGATCAAAGAGATGAAGCTTGCCTGAATAGGGCACTGTTGCCAGGTCAAAACAATTAATTTCACCAGAAATTGGAATGAAAAATCACCAGATTAAAAAAAAAAATCACCAGAAATCTTGAAAGTTGATTTTTCAGGAAAATTCCCGCCTTACGGGCTTATATCAAACCAAGTAGGTTTTGGCAACATGTATGTATTGCAATGTCGGTATTACAGGGCGCCATATTTAAATTTTGAAATTTTGCAATGCCTACTTTGTCCCTTGTCAAACAGTGTTGCCAACTACAACTTATAACAAATATTGTGTGCTCGAATTTATACAAAAAAAAAGCCCAAGTAGGCCTTGCAAATTTCAAATTTTCCATAACAGTAATTATATAAACATCGGCAACACTGTTGGGCAAAATGTCAAATATCATTTATGACAAGCGATAAGATTAGGTACTACTTATCAAAAACTAAGTGAACCTTAAAGCAATCCTGCTCTGGGACTCTGTGCTCTATAGAATTCTACAGCTCGCTTTCCATAGTAGATATCTATTTTCAAAAGTGATAGTCGGCTGAAACGACACTCTGTGTCACTATCGACAACAGTTCGGCTACGTTCTCGAATCCTTTTATCATGCTACTAACCATTCGAAAAACGTAGTACAAATCTAGGGGAAACTCTAGGGAATTTTTATTTTATTCCTAAGAAATGTCAATATTATTTATTGAATTGACTGTATACGTCATTAATAAGTTTGTTTTTGTTATTATTTGGTTTGCTTGTTTATACCATAACTATTTTTGCTTCCTGAAAGTTGAGTTTAAGTTTAAAAATTATGCTTTGTTCCCCATTAATAATTTAAATAACAATATTGTTGAAGAAGATGAGAAGCTTGGATATATTTGTCTGGAAAATATCCAGTGATGCCCAACCATCAACAACAGTGACTGTTTTCAAAAAGAAGATGTTAGATTTGAAGAAATAATTGGACAAAGCTATAATATTTATTTGGCTACAAACTATGTCAAGAGCAGAGCAATAGAGAAAGCATTAATAGCCATCAAGGTTCAGTTTCCTGTAACTCAAGACGAGAAAAATCTAATTGAAGCAGGATTTATGGAAAAAATTAATTTTCCAGGTGTGATTACTATCACACGGCCGATGGAACCCACAGTGAGTGAAATTATTAGACCACATGACGAAGAACCCGGGCTAATGACACCTAGAGAAAACACTGCGGTAACCAACACTGCTCCAGGAACTTCAGAGTTCAATTATAGCCAAAATCACATCCAAACTCGAAATTGTATCGGTGTGTTTAAACAAAGATTTGTGCGAGGATTTGTGTGTGTGAATTTCAAAAGTGTTGAGGCATGCCCCCGGACATACCTCAGAAAAAGTTGGGCGCTTTGTTATTGTTTGTGTTATTTTACATAATTGCTCGGAAGGGAGACTGAATGGTCCCCGAACCTCATATCCGAAGGGATAACATTCAGGTACCGAGGTACCATATAATGTAACTTTATGCAAGCAGGAGTCCAAGCAAGAAACAAT